CAAAGATAATCTCACCTGGTTCAGACCCGCGAAGGGGAACCACCTGAAGAATATACCACATGACTTTCCCGTGAAGGTGAGTCATCCAAAGATCATCTCACCTGGTTCAGACCCGCGAAGGGGAACCACCTGAAGAATATACCACATGACTTTCCCGCGAAGGGAGTCATCTAAAGATCATCTCACCTGGTTCAGACCTGCGAAGGGGAACCACCTGAAGAATATACCACTTGGTTTTCCCGTTAAGGGGAGTCAACTAAAGAATTATGATCGACTTAGATCAGCGAAGGGGAGCCATCATTCACTTAGATAAATTGTTTACAGCATAGCTCAAGGCGAGAAGGGCTATCTGTCAACAAAACTTTCGAGTTCGATTCCATTCAGCTCGAAAGCATATCAACTATATGGTAGAAACGATGAACTACTTTCCGGTTGAAGTTTAAACTGAGGTCTTTAAGTCAAAAAGAAGACCTAGGTTGGCTACGATTTAGCAACAAGGAACTATCTCCCAGCCGAATTTACAACATAGCTCAAGGCGAAAAAGGCTATCTATCAACAAAACTTTCGAGTTTGATTCCATTTAGCTCGAAGGCATATCAACCGCATGGTAGCAACAAGGAACTACTTTCTGGTTAAAGTTTAAACTGAGGTCTTTAAGTCGAGAAGAAGACCTAGGTTGGCTGCGATTTAGCAACAAGAAACTATCTCCAAGCCAAATTTATAACATAACTCAAGGCGAGAAAGGCTACCTGTCAACAAATTTGATTCCATTCAGCTCGAAGGAATATCAACTGCATGGTAGCAACGAGGAACTACTTTCCGGTTAAAGTTTAAACTGAGGTCTTTAAGTCAAGAAGAAGACATAAGTTAGTTGTGATTTAGCAACAAGGAACTACCTCCCAGCCGAATTTATAGCATAGCTCAAGACAAAAGAGACATCTGTCAAAAAAACCTTCGAGTTCGATTCCATTCATCTCGAGGGCATATCAACTATATGGTAGCATCGAGGAACTACTTTCCGGTTGAATTTTCAAACCAAGGTCTTTAAACCGAAAATAAGACCAAGGTTGACTACGATTTGGCAACAAGAAGTCACCTTCCGATTCAAATTCCGATTTTATGAAGAAGGATATCATTTTAAGACTGACCCAACTTCGCGACGGAGAAGTCATCTGCAACTACCGAACGAAATTTATGTCCTTTTATTTTTTTCCTATTTTTCGTTACACAAAAAAGGACAAAGAGGGGTAGTTGTAGATATATACTTTCGTTCGGGGATTATTTAGTATATATATTAATATTATATTTTATCTTTGTATTTTAGTTTAAATAGATGTCAATATCAATTAGGATTTAGGATATTATTTTAAATATTATTTTATTTTATCTTTGTTTTAGGTATTTTAATTTAAATAGTTTTAAGTGTTTTAATTAGGATAAAAGATATTATTTTAGGAATTATTTTTAGCTTGTTTTTAGAATTTGAAGGCTATAAATACTCTCTCAGGGTGAGTCTAGAAAAACATCTGAAATCACACTCACATCTGAGAATAAAATCTCATTTTTCTCTCTAGTTTTCTCTCTATTTTTCGCACACTTCTTTATTTTCTTTTAAATTTCATTTTCAACAATTATGCTAAGTATGACTTTAGTCATGCTTAGTTAATTTTCTTTTAAGTCGAAGGCTAAAGTGAAAGCTCAATTCCAAACGTAAGAATTCATATTCGACTTTTCGAGAACACACTTAGCAAAATTGTTTGCTAAGAAGAAACTAAGATCGAAACAAATTATTGTTAAAACAATATAATCCGAGTTGTCAGCGAAGAATTGTCCTAGTAAGCTGATGTGAATTTTGAAGTAAAGATTTGTTTTGATGATCCAAAGAATTTTTGAAGTTGTTTTCACTATAAGTTTCTTTTTATCTCAATCTCTTTAGATTATTTATTTAATTATTTTCTTTTATTTAATTCTTATCTTTTATTTTAAAAACAACTTTTAAAACCCCTTTTTATCTTTACTACTATTATTTTATTATTTTATCTTTTATTTTATTTTATTATATCTTTTATTATACCTTTATTTTTTTTCTTTCCTTGTATTTTCTTTAAAATTTAACACTTTTTTTATTTTGTTTTATTTTTTTTCTCTTTTAACATTTTTTTATATTTTTTATTTTTCTTTTTTGAAATTTAATATTTTCTTCATTTATTTTATTTTTTCTTTTAACATTTTGTATATATAACATTTTTTAAATTTAATATTTCCTTCTTTGATTTTTTTAAATTTATTTTTTATTTGATATTTCTTTTATTTTATAATCTAATGTTTTCAACTTTTTAGAGGTAATTTTAATTCATCAAAGGTAAATAATTCGAATCTCGTCTTTAAATTTTAATTTTCCCAATTAAGACAACCGATAAATTAAAATGGTACCGAAAGGGCACTTTAAGGGTGATAATCCTTCCTTGATTGTGATCGACTCCCGAATCCAACATATTTATGGTAAAACGCAGATCAGATAAAATGGAGTCCGATCAACCTAAATATTTTTTTAAATGATCGGTGACGACTCTAACCCATTTATTTAAGTCGAAGCCCAATTCCGGGCCCAACCCGAAAGACGGTCGCGACAATCATCACCACCTCGAGTCACAAATAGTTTTGAATCAAGTTAGTTTAAGTCAGTTTTGTAGGTTGGGTCAATTTTTTACATCCCTAATTACTAGAAGGTTAGATTTATTTTAAATAGATATTATCTTTTAATCACCATAAACAATTAAAAAATAATATTATACGTCAACTTTGATTTTATTTAATTACAAAAAAAATGTTGATTCTAATTGAATTGTATACATAAAATTTTAATTTTGAACCGATTATACATTTTTAAAAGTTAATACATTAATTTATTTGCATATTGAATGAATATAACTATTTATGTATATAATATGTAAACGTAAAATAATGTTCTGTAAAAATAATTTTAATAACTTATAAAAATTGAATCTGATCAAAATTTTCTGAATACAATTATATAAATCAAAAGTCATATATAATGCGACACATTCGATGATTTATCTCTAAAAGAACAAAAAGTCACTTATTAAACTCTTCCTTTAACCTCACTAATATATATGAATAAACATATTTAGAAGCAACCTTCTAAAAATCAAATTATTGTCGTCCATGCCTATTACATGTAGAAGATACTGTTCTAATCCTGATTAACATTAAATCATAAATTTGATGACGGATAACTTCTCATTTCTTTTATACAGTTTGCAACGATTCCCTATTTAATACCCCTAATTGAAACAATATCCTTTTTAATGTCCCTAAAAAACAATAAGACCACTTATTTTCCTACTAATCCAATTCTGACAACAATATCTAAAAGAATAATTTTATTTATTTTGCAGTACCATCACTTATGACCGTATAAAAGTAACATTAATGGTATTCTAATATTTTCATTCGTTTAACCTATTTTGACATAATAAATTGGGTAAAATGTTTTTAGATTTGAGTGAATTTATTCAATGTTTTCAAAAATAATTCAAAATTTATAAAATTTGAATTTGAACACAAAACTTTTATGGGTAAGCAGTGTCGATATTGTTCTTGCAGTATCGATACCAAAGATAAGAAGAGTATCAATACTTATCTGGCAGTACCGATACTACCTATTGGTTTCAAGTGTGTTCAGATTCCAGTAAGCAAAAATGGTGTCGATACTCATTCAGCCCAACGGTAAAAACGGCTAGTTTTTAAAGGCAGTACCGATACCCATTACCCTAGTACTGATACTCCATATTCTAATTAGTTTGTTTTTGCATAAAATTAATCCAATGGCTAGAAACAACTACAAACTCATTCTAAAATATAAAAACAAGTTGAAGACACTTAAAAAATGTTACAACACCTATCCAAGCAATTACATCAAGAGAAAAATATTTCAATCTTATTTTTTTCTCTTGTACATAAAGTGTTTTCGTGAGCTTAATTGTGTAAACACTTATCTTGTGATGTTTTCTTGTTTACATTCTTTTTATGTTTTTGTAAAAAGGGTTTGGTTCTATCTTAACCTTTGAAAATATAAGAATTTGTAAAGATTACTTTTGAGCCTAGAAAAAAAAGAAACAAATTAGTAAATTTGTTAAAAATCTTAGTGTGAAGCTAGGTAATGCATGTATACTTAGTTGAAAAGTCGAACCACTCTAAATTTTGTGTCTATCGTCTATCTTTCTTCACTCCATTCCCTAAATTTTTCAATTGGCCAATTCACCCTCTCTTAATATATTTTTGGTTGATCGATAGAGCAACAAAAATCCCAACACCATTAATTAATCAAACATATAAATGGCTAATAGAAAAGTTTTTTTATTAGCATAAGATGATTATAAAATAATATATATTCAAAAGACTTAATCATTTGACAATGAACGTTCAAACACCACTATAGTTATTGTACTCATACTCGAATCCTTTATGGATAAAAATAATATTTTAAAAATAATTTTATTTATTTTGTAATATCATCACAATTATGACCATATAAAAGTAACATTAATGATATTCTAACATTCCCATTAATTAATCAAACATATAAATGGCTCATAGGAAAGATTAAACATTTAATATCACTAGTAACGCAACAATTTGAATCCCAAACCTTTTAGTATCATTTAGTATTAATGAATATAATTCTAATATATTTTTTAATCATATAAATCGTTCACCACAAGGAAGTTCTCTAACTCCTCGTCAACTTCAAATCTCTAAAGCTACATTATTTAAGAATCTATTTGAATATTCGGAAACCCTTATAAAAGAAGGTAATGATACAGTTCCAAGAAACAAATTGCCTTTACCAACACAAAAATCATCAAATTTATGTCTAGATCGATCTGAAAAAATCGTAACGAAATACAACGATGATCTTAAAAAAACTCACAAACACTAGTCAATAGCATTACCATTCCACATCAAACATCCGAATGGACCGTCAAAAAGAAGGTTCAGAAAAGATATAAACTAGAACGGAACAATCTTCCTCAGTAGCTTAATGATCTCCGGGCATGCTCTTAATTATATCAGAATCACCTGAAAAAGAAAAAAGAAACACAAAATATTACCACAACCAGAAGTCCATGCCTAGGTATGTAAACTCAATATGTTATCAACTCCTTCATACATACCCGGGTCGATGATGCTGAGGCAGCACACTCTGAAATATTTACCACAGGCAGTGCCCAAGTCTACATTGTCTGTAAAAACAGAACCACCAGATTTTCAAGAGAGTAATCCTTAAAACAAAGTAATTCATTTACTCAAGTGAACCAATATATCACAAATTACACATGAAAAACTAGATGAAGAGCATATATCATATACCATAACAATCAATTCATTAAAGGACTTCGACAAACTTATTAGTTCCATAAAAGAAAATGCAAAGAGATAGGGCTTTTCACAATATCTTCAGCTGTAAGACCTACTACTGAACTAAAGAATCAAAGGGGGTAGGGAAGGGATGACTTAATTTTATCAATAATCCTGAACATAATATGCAAAGTAATGGTACAGGTCAAGTTACATACTTCCATTGTAGTGGTGAACTCCAACCTTGCACAACATGGCATAATATTCGATCTCCGACTTCCTAAGTGGAGGGCAGTTGTTGGCAATGATAATCACTTACCTACACAAAATTATCAGTGTTTTTAAAATCCAATATCACACACACACAAACTAATCCCCTTGTTCAAGTTAAACACTATTTTAACCAGAAGTAAGTTCATTTTTTAGTAGAGCAAAGTACTAAAAGTGCCTGGAGTTCTCAAATCAACCATCAGGTAGCTCAGCAATGTCAAAAAGTTGTAAAAAAAGGTTCGGCAATGTTAAGGAAAATACGCAGAATTAAAAAAAATAACAATACCTTTGGAATTTATGAGAGATTTAAGAACATTTTTGTAACCCAAAGTGTATTTCCCACTCTTCATAACGAGAGCCAACTGTTGTTAATGCTCTCATGTGTCTTCTTCTGCATTTCATAAAATACCCAACCAAAAAAATATGTACATTAAGTAGCTCATTTTGCATAAAATTAAGAATAGTTGTAAACATTAAACAAAAATTAAAAAATGGGAGATGGAGATTTACGGTTTTCTTGGGGCAACCATTGTCGTCGGAGGCGGCGGAGGGACAAAAGCAGCTACAAATGGTTCATTAAAAACAAGGAAACCCTAAAACCCAACGAATATATTGATTCTGAGTTTAGGGTTCTTAGTGGCTTCCTTAATGGGTTGACTTTTACGGTCCATTAGTAACAGTGGATCAGGCCGACACGTTTGAAGGATTAAAAATGTTTGGACCAATTTTAGATGAAGAACGTGTAATTTAAGCTATATAAAAACGCAATATATTAAATTCTTGAAATTTAATTGCTTTTTAATATTTTATGAAAATTTGCTGAGTGGTCTTATTTTATTGACAATTTTAAATTAATATTTTAATACTCGAATGAAAAAAGAAAAACTTAAACTTATTTAAGGAATATTTTTTTAATAGTCTAAAGCAATTATAAGTATTATCTGTTTAAAGCTTTCTTTAGTCACACACTCTTTACAATGCAATTACTAAACCTAAAATCTTTAGGGAGAACAACACTCCCTCTACCATTGAGGTCTGTTTCATATAACAAGTACAATTGTAATTAAAAAAATAAATATAATTATTTGACAAATTTAATGATTGATTTATGAGAGTATTATTTTACACCGATATAATTGCATCCTCGTGTGTTAAATAGCTTGCAATTCAGAGAGCAGGATGGTCCTTTCCACAGCAATAACATTTGAACCATTCATGATTGAGATTTCATCCAAATTGGTCAAAACCGTGAAATTAGGGTTTTTTATTTGAAAAAAAAAAAGAGCCTAAACATTACAGGCATGGCTAAATTCACTAAACAAAAAGTGTAACTAAACATTATGTTTGAATTCACATTCTTTTTACATGTACATAAATATATAAAAATATGTTACACAACGCACTTACACCGAGAAGAGGAAAATTACACAGTTGAGGGGGTAAATCCATTAATATACAGTCCACGAAATGAGGAGCATTCCCATACCATCATCTTGACATGAATGACCAATGAATCTGGCATGCCATTCACAGAGATATGCTACTTTATCCCTACGACGACGCCTTTATCTCCTCTGCTTCTTCAATAATGGCTCTGCTTGTGGTTTGGTCTACAAAATGGTCAAATGATGCGTCAAGAGGCGGATGTGAATTTCAAAGGTGAGACAGTACCAGGAAATGATATTTATTCGTACCATTATGATGAACATTTTTGTATGCATACTGAATTATATAGATAACTGCAATTAGTAATGGAAGATGGTGCTTACAACATTTGAAAGCTGCTCTTGAATGTAGGCCATTGATCTCAACATTGCACCTAATGTATCCCTGGACACCTGGAATTTAACTTCCGACTCTCCAGTAGAGGTCTCAGAGTCTTGAAGCTGGAAAAGAGATGATAGAAGAAAAGAAAAATAAGCGAAAGACGGAAGTGGAGTGTTTAGAGGGTAAAAGAAAAACCCTAGCTCAAGTCTATGGGATATGATGTTAAAGCAAGAGTCAAATAATATATTCATTTCTGCATTGCAAATTTAGATTCAACACAATTCCATAAACAAAACAATCTTAAAAACATATTAGTACACAATAAGACAACATATAAAAATTTATTATATAATCACAAAAGGTCAGCCCCATATAAAATATCGTAGCAAAGGTTTATTTTCTCAAGCATTATAACCATTAGGAAGAGTGTGGCTTAACATACCTTCAAATTGATGACGGCAACCCTGTTAGCTGGGGTGGAGAGCTGTTCACTAATATAAGCCATAGACCTCAGCATAGGTTCTAAAGTAACCCTTGAGAGCTGAAACTTGACCTCCATTTCAGCAGATGGATTCTTGCCATAATCTTGCAACTGTATCGATTATACATCAGATATGCATAAGAAATGGGTTTTGAACAAGTTAAAAATACGTAACACGAAGTGCAATGACTAAAAATATCTATCAACTCCACAATTGCAGACATAAGTGAAACAGTTTCAAAGGGCTATTGTACTTCATCAACTAATTTAATTTTTACTAATCTGTGACACTGACTATTAGGATTTTACCATACATACCTTTAAATTAATGACTGCCACTCTATTTCCAGGTGTTGAATTCTTGTTCTCCATTTCCCAAGTCATCGATTTCAAACAAGGAAGAACCGGCTACATCAAAGCAACCCATAAATTTATCAGTAAATATCATTTTCTTCAGTACAAGACCAATGAATAAATGAAATGACATTAAAAAGAAACAAAAACAAAACAAATTACTTATTGTACCATGTTATCGGGACGATTATCATCCCGATGGAGCGAAACAGGAGCCATATGTGGCAGATTCAAATCTTTGGCAGATTGAGCTGGAGCACCAGTGTCATTAAGATTGAATCGCCGTGTACTTTCATCTTGCTGTGGCCATAGCAATGGGGCTATATCTGCAGCAGAATTTGAGCTCCTAAAGTCAACATAAGCAGCACTAATAGCCTGTGAACTGGGAGGTGCATCTTTTGCAATGCTTTTCTTTAAGACAGAAACCTTCTTCCCACCTTCCTTAAGAGCACCCATTGCAACATTATAAGTTTCAGTAGCAATTGCCCCATCTTCAGCATATTTGATTGCTTCCTTGCACAAACTATTATACCGTGCTGTCAGGGACACTTGGCCTTGCAATTCTCCACCATGTTCGTCTATCCCAACCCCAGACTTAGCATTTCGTGTCCATCGTTTCAAGATGTAATGAGATGGTAGTGTAAGTACATTTGTCACAGTGAAGACTGTCAAAACATGTCTACAAAGGATGCCTGAATACTCAAACATTTGACAACTACAATTGGCTCTCATTTCAGGGTAATTTAATGTAATTATGAATGCTTTGTTAACGTCCTCAAACTTAGCAACTCTAAATGTGCTGATTGTTTCATTCCCTTCAATTCTATTAGCAGTGTAAACAAAAGTTTCAACTAGTTCTTCCTGAAATTTTGTGAATATTTTCCGTGTATATAGATCTGCTGCCTGTTTCTCCATAGGTGATGGTGTCCGCAGGACAGGAGTGGTGCAAATAGTGTCAAAATCAGCCTCAATCTCCTTTCCAAACCAACTCTCCATTGCTCGTTCGTACTGTCTAAAGAACATAGGTATTGTGGTCTGTTGATTCACATAACCATCAAAAAAGGAGCCATCAAGTCCTTGATTAGGGGATATTGCAGCAAAAAACGAATCTCGAAAATAGACAGGGACCCATTGAGCTCGAGCACTATATAGTGACTGAAGCCAATCATGTGCACTAAGATTATACTTCTCAATAAGGGAACTCCAAGATAATTCAAATTCCTCAATAGTTTCAGTCAAATTTATGCAATTATACAGTTCTACCTGAAAATTAGGATGCACATGACAAACATGAGCTAGCTTCTCCGGACCTTCTCTTAAAACATACCACTTATTAATACACTGTCGAACACCTGGAAACACCTGTGACACTGCTGTCTGTATAGCTCCGTCTTGATCAGTGATTAAAGAAACAGGTTGACGATCATTCATTGCTGTAAGAAATGTTTTAAAAAGCCAAACAAAAGAAGCCTCGGAATCATCTAGTAGTAGTGCACAACCAAACAAAATTGTCTGACCATGATGGTTGATCCCTGAAAATGGAGCAAATGGCACCCTATACTGATTTACTCTGTAACTCGTGTCCAGTTTCACTGCGTCACCAAAATGCATGTAGGCTGTCCTTGACCTAGCATCGGCCCAAAAAACATTAGCCATTTGATTACCATCATCCAGCTGTATTGCATAAAAGAAACCAGGGTTCTCAGCCTGCTTCTTCTTGAAATAATCAAGCAGATTTTGAGCATCCCTCCCCAGTGTTCTCTTTCTCGTAACAGGCCTAACAGAATAATCCAGTGTTCCAATATTCTTCACAGAGCGATTTGCTTCGGCTGGAGGAGTGCTCCTGACACCACGATTATTTGTGTCCGTGGAGACATGATTTCCATCCATGGAAACATACATCACACCACTCGGTACAATTCCCACCCCTTGGTAACCATCGACCATGGTCTTTGCAGCACCAGCAAAGTACCTACGGGGACGAAGGTAATGCACTTTGTTTGGACTCATCGCAGAATGTCTATGCTCCTTCACAAATTTTGTAACAACCCACTCATCTCCCTTTAACTCCATTCTAAGCATAGCGTCACAACTGTCAGCAGACCTTCTTTTCACACTGTCTCTACCACAGACAAACTCCCTAGCAACTATTGTCCCATCAGTTGTGGAACGACAAAGCTGGCCAGCTTTGGAGCTAAATCCCATATTTCTACAATACTCATCATAGTAAGCTTTAGCAGTGTCTTCAGAATCGAATTCCATACCGAGATATGGCTCAGAAATCTCATCCTCGTCATGAGCTAGGGAATTATTTACATGATTTAATTCACCTTCACTAGGTTCAGCATCCCCATCATCTGACATTCCAGGATGGCTCATACCCTCTTCCGAATCAATCACGTGGACATCCATACTACGCCACAGTAATATTTCATACAGTGCCTTACCTTGTGAGCAGGTAATGCAGCATATCTATTCGTTTACAAGCAACATGAACTAATTTTCAGTCAGCCAATATGAAGCAACTCAGTAAACACAATCAACAAATGAGCACAAACACACATTTATCAAAACTTTCACAAAAATTACTGTTAATCAAGTTATGTAATCACAGCAAATTCTAGCCAATCACATGGAACCATGATGCAAAACAATAACTGTAAACTAAAAATGAATGGTATAAACACAGCTTTCAAATTGACTGAAGGCCCTAAAATATCTAAAATTTGTTCTGTACGTAATCGTACATACATATGAACAAACTTGCTCACATCAAATGTAAGACAACAATTAGTTGAGCGAAACAATAATAATCTTCTTTTCCTCGTATCAATATCAATAACAGCAAAGAAACCAATCAAAGTGCTCCAAACTAAAACTCCATGGATTGAACATGATAACCAACACGAAAGAAAACCCATTACACTAAATAATCTAAAAACAGAAACCCAGATGGAAAAAGAGCATAAAGGTACTAGCTTTTGGTCAAATTCATGAAAATCCCATGAAAGGAAGTGAATAGAGTTGGGCAGTACCTGGAAATGTGAGTCTCCCAAAAAAAAAGTTGACAAAGAGAATAAAGATGATGGATTAACGAGGGGAAAGGAGTCTTCGGAGCTAAAAGCAGAATGAGAGATTGATCATTTGATTGGGAATGAAGATCTTAATTATCATTTTTTTTATAAAGTGAGGAACCCTAAACTCTAGTATTGTTAGGGTTAACAAATTTGCAAAGACGCCCCCTAAATTGTCTTGTTAGGCAATAAGCATACGGCCAAACATCCTGACCCTCAAAGGGAACAGAAGGCTTAATTCAGCAATCAGTCCTTAAATTATATTTTAATTTTTTTAATATTTTATTTCAATAAAATATCGAAAATAACTTCTGTCTTCTTCAACTAAATAATTTTTTTTAAATAAATTCTAGCATTCATTTAAAAAAACTAATTAATATATTATTTAAATTAAGTATTTGGATAGGCATATTATTTGATAAAATGCTGTATTTCACATAATAACTTTAATGATTTTAATTTTTTTATATTAGTTCAAATGCTGAATATAAATGGATAAATTAAAATTTCTTATATTTATATTAATCATCAATAAAATCTAAAACTCGTAATGAAATTTAATCAAGTGGAAAAGCTACAATGATAATGGAAAACTATGAACTTGTTATATCATATTATATATTTATTATTTTAGTCAAATTCTTATATTAGTTTAAATATAATATATGAGATGAGTTTAACTTTAATTTTATATTTTAATTTTATAATTTTAAAATTTATATTTATATTTTAAGTTGAATAATAATTATTTATTTGTTAAGTCAAGTTATTATTAATTTTTGTATTATGTGTAAATTAAAAAAATACATATAGCTTAAACTTAAATTTTTAGATTTAGTGTTTAGCATTTAAAATTATTATTTTAGATTTTAAAATTTGAGATTAAAATAAATAAATAATGTTACTTTTTACACAATTTATAAATCAAATAATAATCTTATAAATTATAAATTTAATTTGTATTTTTAATCAATTTAAATCTTCATAATTTATTTAATTTCATAATATTATTAAAAAAAATTAAAGCTATAAAATAATAAAATTTAAAATATTAAATGTTAAACTAAAATATAAAGATTAAATTTATTATTTTGGTAAAATATAAGAATTAATGATAGAATTTAATCTGATTTTTTTTTACAGATAATGAATGTCCAGTGCATAACGGGCACGGTATTTGGTATTCGATTATAGCCCTAATTTGAGCTTAAACCCAATTAAACAACCCGTCAAAGGAGAAAGAAAGGTTACCATCTTTTTCAGCTCCCAGTGTCTGTTTTCACCGTTTCAGTATAATTTTCCCAGACCACAACCAAAACAATGAAGATTATCCCTCTAATTCTGATGGGTTGTGGAGGTGTGGGACGCCAACTCCTCCAACACATTATTTCCTGCAGATCCCTTCACTCCAGCCTCGTACTTCTTTCTTTCCTTTCTTTTTTCTTCATCGTTTCTTTAAAGATTTTTTTCTGGGTCTCTTATGTATGCATAAAAGTTAGCGTCTTTCCATTTCAATTTTTTTTTTAATTGGATGAATTGTTAATAATTTTATTGATGAGGACCATTGATTTGGATATAAATCTGATTGTCGTCTCTTATGTTGAATGGCAGGGAGTTCATTTACGAGTTGTGGGAGTGTCTGATAGTAAATCATTAGTTATTGCATCAGATGTCACACAAAAAGAGTTGGATGATGACATTTTAGCTGAAGTTTATAGGGTCAAGTCGGTTGGTTCTTCTTTGTCAACACTTACTAGCTTAGGTAAATTCTTTTATATCCCCTTTTTTTTATATAAGACATATGTTGCCTCTTTATCGTATTTAATGATATTACTTATGTTTCTTTCTTGAATATTACATGTAGGTGAGTCTCAAGTGTTCTCCAGTCCAGAATCAAGAACAAAAGTGCTAGATATTGCATCAATACTTGGAAAATCAACAGGTTTGGTTGGTGTTCTTTGCTGTTCGAGATGTAATCATGTTACTAGCTTAATTTGATGTCCAAATCTTTGTTCATGGCTGCCATATTTTTTGTGTTTTTGTAATTTTATCACAGTTTTAGCCCTTGTAGATTGCTCGGCCAGTTCTGAGATGACATTTTTGCTGCAGAATGTGGTCATATATTAGCTTTTTTTATGAGGATATCTTAGTCCATTGCCACCAAAATGTTCATGTTTTTGTAATTTTTGCCACAGGTTTAGCCCTTGTGGATTGCACAGCCAGTTCGGAAACTATTGGAGTACTAAAGGGAGGGGTAGACTTGGGTTGCTGCATTGTTATGGCAAACAAAAAGCCTCTGACATCCACATTGGTAATAAGTTCTGTGCACGTCTTCATTAGTGAACCTGAAACAGTTGGGATGCTTTCTGTGTTGTCAAATTATAGTTTTTGAATTCCATTGATGTGAATATTTTCCTATGAACTTTGAACCATTGATAAAGCAACACACTTTGTTGTAAACAGTTTCCAAGGAGGCATTTCATGCTGTTAACATTTTCTCTTTAGGTTTGTATGATTTTGATATTGATACCTTGTTGCTTGTCCAAATTTTTATGTGTTTCTTTCTTCTGCAGGAGGATTATGACAAATTGGTTTCACATCCACGACGCCTACGGCATGAGTCAACTGTAAGCCAAATTTAAACAATCTCCTTACGGTACTTTTTGCTTCACGCACTGGGCATATGCAGCTTGATGTAACTGCACTGTAATGTGTCAAGCTTTTTCTACTAATTTAGTTTGTATTATTTGTTAGGTCGGTGCTGGTCTTCCAGTCATATCATCAATAAATCGCATAATTTCGTCTGGAGACCCCATCCATCGCATTGTTGGAAGTTTGAGCGGTATAAATTTGTTATGGCATTGAGATGAATATATAGTATTAGTTTCATTGGTAGACCCTTGGTTTTCTGTAGGGTTATCAACTATATACATCTTTTAATTTTGGTTTGCCTATTATATATATGAATTTCGTTTCGACAGGAACATTGGGTTACGTAATGAGTGAGGTGGAAGACGGCAAGCCATTGAGCCAAGTTGTTAAATCTGCTAAAAGCTTGGGATACACTGAACCAGGTAACTTATAAAACTAAAATTGCTGTCTTTTCTCTGTGCATGACAAATTTCAATTCTTTAAAACTTCAACTGTTCTATATGGTCCATGTTATTTTCACAAAGAATTTGAATCTTACAAGATCTTTTATAGTTAATGTAAATGTAAGGTTATTGCTTAATATTGTCATTGCAGATCCACGAGATGACCTTAGTGGTATGGATGTTGCGAGGAAGGTTTGAATGAATATGTTCCCATGCTCTTGATCAGTACTTTGTCTTAGATGACTTGCATGCTTTTATCAAACCATTTGGCAAGATATATACCATTATGACATACTGATCTGCATTGTCATATTTTTGGACCTCTTAAATATAGGGTTAGGGTTTAAATTCAAGGTTTAAAAATGATATTGGTTCTAGTACCTTTTTTATGTCGCCTTTTATTTTATGGTATTTTTCTAGTTTTGTTTAAGGTTACTAAGGTTGGTTTTTTCTTCTTTTTTCATACCGTAGTTCATGCTCACATACTCTAAATATTTTTAACTTTTGTAACATAAATTTAAGAATAAATTAGTTGTTTATTGTTTGATGACAATTGAAATGCACCCAATGTATATATATAACATAGGCATAAATAGATATTTTCTTCTTTTCAATGGGAAAACTACTATGACCTAGTTTGACCTAACATATAAACTTTTGGTAATGGTTGGTATCTTTGATGCATAAATCGAAACTTTATAGCTGGATTAGTGGCTATCCATCATCACATTTTATTTATAAGTGACGGATAGATTTTACGTGATGAATTTGATATGTTCCTACTTTGGAAATTTAGTTATTGCTTCAAGTGTGCATGATTTTCTTTTCTTTTATCTGAAACAGGCTTTGATCCTTGCCCGACTTTTAGGGAGGTGCATTGACTTGGGTAGCATAAGGGTCAGTATCGAAACTCTCTATTGCCTCCTATTCTATTGATGGCTTGAAAGGTCATAATGACCTGGTCATAATGACTTTACCCTTTTTTCTTGACTGAAATCTTTAATCCATTGAAGTTTAAATTTTAGCGGGGTAATATTTTACAAACCTTATAAAAGTGATGGATTAACTTCTTTCCTTTGATTGGTATGGCAAATTGTAAAAAATGAATTGTAAGCTCTACCACTTTTAAAATTGATTATTTCATAAAAAATATCTTTATTTTAAGCGGGGTTACCCCGTATCTGTTAAGTCTTCATTTTTGTGTGGTTTTATATTCAAGTTGGTTCTACATCATTTGCCAAATGATATTTAAGTTGGATATTAATCATGGTCAATTGTAACTGAATCTTGCTTCTTGTTCAATGCATTGAGCTCAGTCAGGATGAAGGCAGATACTTTGGGAGGGCGGTGTTTAAAAATACATTGGATTGTTTTAAGCATTATTCAAATAATCGTAACTTCTTTTTGATGGTTTGATCTATTTTTGTTAGATTGAGAGCTTGTATCCAGAAGACATGGGACCTAATAAGATGTCTGTTGAAGATTTTTTGAATGGCGGGCTTGTAAAGCTTGATAACAATATCGAAGACAGAGTTAAACAAGCTTCACTCAATGGGAATGTCCTCCGTTATGTCTGCGTGATAGAAGGCTCAAGGTATTCAAGTATTCCTGTTAATCCTTTTAAATCACGAATAGAAATGTTGATGTGCATTCATTCAAAGCACATATAGATATTACCATATACCAGTGCAAACCCAAAAGACTTTCCTGAGTGTGAATTGAAATGTAAAAGTAGGTTTATTTACGGTGTTAATATTGTTTGTGAAATCTAATCAGTCCACTCCCGGTGATGTACGTATAAGTGTCCTTAAATCATCTGTTATTTTTCGGTCTCAGAACTTGCTTGTGATCTAATGGTTCCTCGACTTAATTTCTCGTTTTAGATGTGACGTCGGAATTCAAGAACTTCCCAAAAATTCTGCTTTGGGAAGATTGAGAGGAAGTGACAATGTGGTAAGCTTCCCCTTTCTTTTATATTGGTTCCCGCTCACTTCGAATTGTACCCTCTGCTGAATCATTGTTGAAATATCAGAAACCCTGTTTTGCCCCTATTTCCAAGTTATTAGATGTGAAGTTGAAATATATTTCACCCGATGCCGTTGCAGCTAGAAATATATAGTCGATGTTATAGCGAACAACCTCTAGTTATTCAAGGCGCGGGAGCTGGGAATGATACTACCGCAGCTGGTGTGCTTGCTGATATCCTTGACATTCAGGATCTATTTACCTGAAAGAAATCCGGTTCATCAACTTCACAACTCGAGTTGCCAAGCATTTCACCTGCAAGAATGAAGCTAAAAGGCGTAAAATTTTCGAATGTCGAATAATTTTGTTCGGGAGCAAGTGTACTGATTGTTTGTTGGGATGTTCCATGGTAAACAATGTCCAAACCTACAGTTTGGTTGAAGAACCTGCATACATAATAAACTTAATTTCAGCATGATTTACTTGAAAACCTGAAGCATAGAAACAATCTTTCACGGTTAAGTTAATTAGCTCAGAATCTCTAGTTATACTATAAGTCATACGTACCCTTTTGGTTTCAGCTGAGCGGGGCCATTCAAATTCCAAATGTCGTATCCTATGTAGTGCAAATGTTATATTAAATTCAATACTAAATTAAAATTATCTTTGATAGACACAACAACAACAAAACCCTATTCTCATATATAATCCATATGTAATGGGGTAAGGGGAGGTAGGTTAGTAGGTTGCCCCCAACATCAAGTTGAGAGCAGTTTCTATGAAAGACTTCTGGCAGTCAGAAAATTAAAAATAAAGATAAAATATAATACATGTATAAATAAATAAATACATAGTTTAATAGTCTTCATATGTAGTTATTCATATGTGCGTCTGTAATGGGAAGTAATCACTGCAAATAAATCCCTGCCTAAAAATCTTTGCATATAGACAGAAACGTAAGTCCCGACTAAATTTAAAAAGAGGAAACATGAAGAGAAGAATACACAGAAGTCAGCGATAGCAAGCTACGAGAAGGAATAAAGTCAAAATGGATTAAAACCTAAACTAAGGCAACACTACTCCGCTACCCTAGTTCTAAGTCTTCATAAATTCCAATGACAGAAACGTATAAAAAGTAGAGGTCATGGAAATTACTACAAAGGCAATTAAAAAGAAGACAGAGATGCTACACCCTATGGCTGTTGACCCACACTACTCGGCTACTCTGATCTTAAGTCTCCATACTTTCCTATCAGAGGTTATGTCCTCGGTAAGGGATAAATCCTTCAAATCAGATCTCAAGCAGTCTACCCACTTCCTCCTTGGTCGTCTTCTTCTGGCACCGTTGACTGTAATCGACTCTACCCTCCTGACCGCATCCGACGGTTGTCGCCTAAGGACATGCTCAAACCACCGTAGTCTTCCCTCCCTCCCTCAATTTTTCGAATACAGGCACTACCCACAAGGACATCCTAATAGCATAGTTTAGTGTCATGTCCCACAGAGTCCTACCACATGCCCATCGAAGCATTCTCATTTCTGCGGCCTCTATCCTCCTTATGTGATCCTTCTTGATTGCCCAACATTTTGATACATACAGCAGCGCTGGTCTTATTGACATTCTATAAAATTTTCCCTTGAGTTTTAGAGGCACCTTCTTGTCACACAAAACTCCAGTAGCAGCCCTCCACTTTAGTCATCCTGCCTTTATACGGTGTGTAACGTCATCATCTATACCCCCATCTTTATGTATCATAGACCCTAGGAACTTGAAACAATCCTTTGAGGGGAGAACGTGTCCTTCGATGCATACTTCTACATCTTCATTGTTTTGGTTCCCACTAAAGTTTGAACATAAATACTCTGTCTTTTCAATATTGATCCTTAGACATTTTTCTTCCAAAGCCGTCTTCCAGGTAGTAAGTCTACTATTCAACTCATTTTTTGTTTCAGCAACTAGGACAATGTCGTCAGTGAAAAGCATACACCATGGAACACCGTCTGGTGTCGCACAATAGATGTCGTCCATAATCAAGGCGAAGATGTAAGGGCTAAGAGCCGACCCCTGATGGAGTCTGATTTCCACCGGGAAAGCCTCGATGCCGCCAACTGTAGTCCTGACGTAAGTAGTAGAACTACAATACATATCACGAATCGCCCGGATATAAGCAATTGGGATCCGTCTCGTTTCCAAGGTCTTCCAGATCGTATTGCGAGGTACGCTATCATACACCTTCTCAAGGTCAATGAACGCCATGTGAAGATCTCTAATTTGTTTCCTATATTTCTCCATAAGCCGTCGAAGTAGATGAATCGCCTCCGTAGTAGACCTGCCTGACATAAAGCCAAATTGGTTTTCCGAAACCCTAGTAATTTGTCTCAACCCATCCTCTCTCACTCTTTCCCATAGCTTCATGGTATGACTGAGTAGTTTAATACCTATGTAGTTACCACAATGTTGAAGATCTCCTTTATTCTTATAGATTGGTATCACTGTAGACTCTCTCCACTCCTCTGGCATCTTGGCAGACTCTAAAATAATATTAAAGATGTTGGTCAACCACTTAACTCCCTCTTCTCCTAGGGTCAACCACACAATAATAAGAATTTGATCTGGACCGACAGCTTTGTCCCTCCCCATCTTTCTAAAGGCCATTTTGACTTCCTCAATCCCAATCCTACTTGTAGGGCAGTCATTGGCCGTAGTATGATGGTCGACTGACCCATCAACGTTACTATCACTGCAGGGAGAGGCACCATTATTAAATAAGCTAAAGAAGTAACTACCCCAAACCCTCTTAATATCATGATCTTTCACTAAAAGAACATCATTGTTGTCCTTAATAAACCTAATATTACCTAGATCATTTTTCCTATTCTCCCTGGATTTTGCAAGCCTGAAGATGTCGTTTTGTCCTTCCTTAGTGTCTAATCTCTTGTACATTTCCTCGTATGCCTTATCCTTGTATCTTTGTCTAGCTCTCGATCTTTCTTCATCGTCATTGCATTGTAGCAACTCCTTAAAGCAAGTTTGCTTTGTCTTCACCTTAGTTTGGACTTCGTCGTTCCCCTACCACGATTCTTTATGTTCCTTGGCCTTCTGTTGAATTATGTTTAGATATAACAAATGTAAGGCAAAATGGTTTTTGGACTTGAATTGAATTTACAAAATGTTTTTGGACTTAATTGAATTTATTCAAAGTTTTAAAAGGTTTCAAAAATAATTCAAAGTCTATTAAATTCGGATTTAAACCAAAATGCTAAAGGGTGTCAAAGTGCATCCATGCATCCCTGCAGTGCATCCATGCACCTGCACTAGTGCATCGATGCACCTGCACTAGTGCATCGATATATACCATACAGTGCATCCATGCACTCAAACACCGAATGCAATTAGTGCATCGATGCATCCTTCTGTGCATCGATGCATCAAGGCTGTGCATCGATGCATCCTGCTGTGCATCCATGCACGAAGGCTGCAACGGCTAGTAACGGCTAGTTTATTTAAATTTAATGAAAGGGTATCAATGCACCATGATAGTGCACCGATGCACCATGTTATGGGTAGCCTTTTTTAGTAGAAAAAACATCCTCAAACGGCTCCAAAACATCCCCAACAACTATATACAACATCAAACACATTCCAAGCTATAAATACAAGCTAAGGACACTTGAAGAAGAAAGAGAACAACTATTCAAGCAATCAAACACAAGAAAAGAGTTTTTCATTCTTATTTCATCTTTCTCTTGTAAATATTTTGTTCTTGTGAGCTCAATCTTGTAAACACCTACCTTTGAGAGGTTTATTTGTTTACTTCTTTTATCCTTTTGTAAAGGGGAAAGGTTCTAGCTAATCCTGTGTAAAAGCTAGGGAAATGTTCTAGTTTAGCCCGGAAAAACTAGGGACTTTGTAAGGTTACTCTTTGTCCTCAAAAGAAAGAACAAATTAGTGAATTTGTTGGAAAATCCTTGGTGAGGAGCTAAGGTAGTGGATGTAGACTTGGTTGAGAAGTCGAACCACTCTAAATCGATGTGCAATTCTCTATCTTTCAATCTCCTTACTCCCTAAACATAAAATCGTTCCGACCCTTCTTTACAAACTGTTCTGGTTGTCGATTCGAGCTTCCGAAAATCCCAACAATTGGCATCAGAGCCTAACTCGTTAAGAAGGTTTAACCACCTTGAGACGATACTCGAAGAAGCTCTACCAATTTCCAACGCAACCGACAAAGAAATGACTTTTTCCTCCGGTGCTTATTATCTTGAAGAATATCCCATTATGGATTCACAACCGGTCAACAAGCCACCCTTCTTCAATGGAGCAAATTATGCACATTGGAAGAATAAGATGATGTACTTTATTCAATCCTACAATCTAGGAGCTTGGAACTCAATTATGGAAGATAACAACTCTCCACCCAGTAAGTACAACGATTGGAGTAGAGAAGAGCAGAAAAATTTTCAGCTTAACTCTAAGGCTATACATATTCTATTATGTGCTTTAGGCCCAAATGAATATGGAAGAATCTCATCTTGTTCCAGTGCTAAAGAGATTTGTGATAAGCTTCAAGTCACTCATGAAGGAACTGACAAAATGAGGGAATTAAAGAAAAGTCTTCTCAACCATAACTATGAGAACTTCAAGATGAAACCCGATGAAGACATCAAAGCTATGACGGATAGATTTTCTGTGATTGTCAACAGTCTCAAGGGATATGGAGAAGTAATCCCTAATGAGAAGCTTGTGAGGAAGATGATCTACTCTCTTCCAAAGGAGTGTCAATCGAAGAAGACGACCATTATCGAAGCAAGAAACTTAAAGTCTCTCACTCTCAATGAGCTAATTGGTTCTCTTCTCACTCATGAGATGATGGTGAAGGAAGATGAAGAAAGGGAAGAGAAGAAAAATAAGAAAAAGAATGAGGTAGGCATTACCTTCAAATCCACCAATGAAAGCTATCAATATTCAAGTGATGAGGTGGATAAAGACGATGATGAACAAGAAGAAGAGATGGTCAAGCTCTTGAAGGAACTCAAGAGATTCATGATTTCCAAGGAAGTGAAACATGAATCAACCAAGAAGAAGAGTCCCTCGATATGTTTTAATTGTCAAAGAAAGGGGCATGTCAAGTATGAATGTCCCTTTCTAAAGAAAAAGGGGAAGAAGGTATTTGTTGCATCTTGGAGTGATGAAGATGATTCCAATGATGAAGATGAAGTAGTCAACCTATGCCTCATGACCACTCAAGAAGAATTCGAGGTATCTTCCAACTCAAATGAATTTAATTCATTTACTTTTGATGAGTTACAATATGCTTATAATATGTTGTATTTGGGATTTGAGACCATGAATTCCAAATATACGAAATTAATTTCAAAACTTAAAATTAAAGATAATTTGATTTTGAAAGCAAAAGTTGATTTTGAAAATCAAAATGAAATTTTG